TAGAAACTAGAATTAGATTATTTGAAGAGGGAAAGGGAGAACTTCAGAGCCATTGGAAATATAGTCACACTTCCAAAATTTAATTGGTATTGTTAAAAGATTTCCAACTTCTTCGATGGCCTTCATAATGAGCACCAATTACCGGCTTACATCGCCTTGTCATTCTCATTCAATCAACTTCTTTGATGGCCTTCATAATGAGCACCAATTACCGGCTTACATCGCCTTGTCATTCTCATTCAATTCTGAGTAACAGTTTTCTTCCTATACCTCTGGCCTTAAATTGTCAAAGTCAGAAATCAGCATAGCATGTTTGGCTGTGCTTAAAAGTTATTTCTAGCTTTTAGAAAAATAAGGCTTGTTAGTAAAAAATGGTAACATTGAAAATTATGTTTGCAACAACAAGTAACAAGTGTGACCGACTGATAAGCACAGCAAACCAGCTCTTTTGTCCAAAATGAGAACCCCGCTCTCTCAGACTATAACACAAAAATAGAATGACCAAAACTTCATGGAGTGGTCTCAATCAGCCAAGTCTTTTTGAAAGAGTAAAGGGAACATCAGCTATATTCTGAAGCTATAATACTGATGTCGTAGCCTTTTCATACTGAGCTCGCCATGGTCATCATGCATTTATATTTTATTTATTTGCATGCGTGCATGTCTAATTCATGTCATTGCAAGATTATGAATGATTAATTGCACACTAAAGTGATAATTACACTGTATACAAATTGAAACATTGAAAGCTATGTAAAAAACAACCCAAAAGTTGAGGCTGGTAAAAAGAAGCCCAAAAAGGCAAGAGTAAGGAGTGCACACCTCACCTCTCAGAGGCTTATGCCGTGAGACGTGCACCCCAATAAGTCAAGGTGTAACTTTTGACAAGGGAACCCAAAGCGTATACTTTTGGCTCCTAGTCAACGCGAGGCATGCCTCAAGGCGTAAGCCTCGTGCTCATTTGAAAACACTGATTATATTCCTACAACTTTCGGTCTTTTGAATTTTAAAGAGTGCATTAGATGTTGTCAATTTTAACTCCAGTATTTTCTCTTATTTTAAGTACTTCAAATTTCCAGCATGATTCTAATTTCTCCACCAAAACATCCCCATCTTTCCACCTAATTTTGTCTCTTTATCAATATTATACATGCTCGAAAATGGGCAGGTTAATAAAATTATCTCCATGTCTATGAAAGCATGTAAAGTGGCTACTTCTAAATTTGTTCTTTGTGCAATACATTTTTTCACAATGCCTTTTTTTTTCGATTTTCATGGTGACCTCATATGCATTGTTTCTTCTTCAATGATGTGCAAAAGCCAACCACTCATCATTATGGTTGTGGTCATAAAGTCATCTCTTGGTGCGCACAAAGACAATTCTTCCTCAAAGTGCATTTTTCTTTCTACAAACTCGTACTCCCAAGTCTGAGTCTATACCTTCCAATTCCATATCGTGCATTCACAAGCTTTATCTCCAAGAAACTGAAACAATCTAATATGTAAGTTTTCTGAGTAATCAGTTCGGCTAATCTCTGTTAGACCCATTTAAGAAATAAGCCACTTCCTAAATATAGTATAGTAACCAAGTTTACCTAAAAGCAAATCGATCCCTTATCTATCATTGAAATTTTCATAGCATGTGGATTTGAAATTGCAAATTGTCTTCATTTGCCATTTCAAATATTGAATTTTTTCAAATATTTTTTCTGCTTAATTAATCAAATGTGATTTTTAACTAATTTTCAGGAATTCAATTTCTGGTTACTTATATCTAATAGTTGACCTTTACTTGTTCATGCATAGTATCCGTATTAGATTGCATGACTTATGATTTTTATCACATCTGATTATCTCTGTTTCTAGCTTTATACTAAGCAGTCAATCATCTTTCACTGCATAACAACTTACTTTGTTAATATCAGGCATGACATGTTCCACAATGAAGAAACATATGAAACCCAAGATGGAAAAGCTACACGCTTTTACGAAATGCTTCAATTATAAATTATAATAAAACAAAACACAGTATAAACATGTAATATGCATCCTTTTGTATTTGAGACATGTGGAATCTAATGAGTTTTTGTTTAGGACCAGTATATATTGCATTCTGATTGAACTGGGTTGCTGATATGTTATTCGAATTCCTTTCTTATTAGGGGGCTATATTATGAACATTAGATATTATTATTGTTGCATCCTCTGTTCCTTTGGTGGGGTGGGGGGGGGGGGGGGNGTGTTTTTTTTTTTTTCCGGGGGGGGGGGGGGGGGATTATTGGTTTGAAGCTGCCGCCTGCCAATGCATGGATAATTTGTAAGTAAAGCTAATAGTTCATTCAGAAAATTTAGTTCTTTATTATTCAATTCTGTATGATTTCAGGATTAATACCAGACAGATTTCCCAAATAGCCATGAATTGTTGCTCCTGCCTGTGCTTCAGGTTTTCAACAGTTCAGAGCTCTTATCAATCACATGAAGTTGGGCATAGATACCTAGAAACTAGAACTCGTATATAATGGATGTGCAGGCACCAGTTTAGAGCTAATTTATATAGAAAAATGAAAGAAAGACAGACAGATAAAAGAATGAAAGAAAGAAAGGAATGCTTACATATACTCTATCATTTTCTCAAAAGCCTCCATGCTAAGATCATTTTCTTCAAGACATGGAAGAGTATAGTCAAGTAGCAGATTGCTCCCTTCAAGAAAATCGTTCATATGGGATAATCTCGCTTTGAAGTATTCAGATCTTGATGCTAAAACAACTTGATGGCAACGAAATATCCTCTCATCAACCCTCACGTAAACATCTGCAAGATCATCTTGAAAACCACTCATCTGCATGGAACCAACAAGGGATACTAAATTATCAACACTATTCTCTAGGTTTTGTCCTCTGGAGGAATTGGCAAGAGAGATTTGAAGGATCCGATTCATTGCTGCAGGAAGACGATCTTGCTCTGGAAGGGAGAGGCCCTGCAGGATAAATCGCTTCTGAGAGTTGTCTATATCTTTGAGGGCCTTGTACTCTGCATACTTTTGATGAATCAATTCTTTCTCGATAAGTGTCTGTAATGACTGGCACTTGCAAACTCTGCAAATTTTTACAAGATCTTCCATGTCATCCACAGAAACCTCTAGCCTGTCAGAATAGAAGAAGTGGATAAGGCTATAAAGAGATGGATATGACAGTTTTTCTCTTGAGAATCTGACTTCCTTTTTTTCCTTCCAGTCAGTCTCAAATTTAGCCTTGAAGAATGGTGAGCGAGCGCTCAAGATGACTCTATGAGCTTCAATGGGTCTTCCTTGAACATAAAACACAACATCAGGGGGAAAGTGGTTGGAACTTAACCCTCCATTGAATGATTTACCTACCATTCCAAGTTTCATAACCACATAAACATTCCAGCAATTAAATTAAACTTATGGGAAGGACATTAGTGTGAGTGCGTGTGTGTTCTGGCCAATGCATCTAGAGGATCATCACAATTATAATCTCTACTGTTTCATAAACCTTGGTGCTTTTGTTTCCAAAATTTCTATAGCCATCAAATTCAACCCCTCATGACAGTGCAGACGCCAAACTAGACCAAACAAGAATCCATTATCAACACAATGCATTTGACCAACAGTAGCAAAACAAAGAGAATAAGAAATTTATTTTACATAAATAAGTAACTTCAAGTTCAAAATTGTTCTTGCAATACATTATGCTAGTTTTACGAAAAAATATCATCATGCCCATCTACCAAATGGAGATGTATTGCACAGATATGATTACAACAAAAATTTAAAGCTAACCTTCCTGTATGTTTAAAGCATGCTCCACACAATCTCTAACGTATAGTGACTTAAAAGGCTGAATATGTAATAGTTATTTTGGATGCGAGAACATTTAACAATATTTTTGTCTTGTAGAGTGGCAGCTGTGAACCGCTATTCTTTTAACATGTGATTGTCGCTTCACAAAGTATTAACTCCTATCACACTCTAATTTGATACCAAGCAAGTATAAATCCTACGCTTGTAAAGCATTCAGTTTCCATTTCTTTCCATGTAGGCGGATTGACTAGCATTATTAAAAGGCGGGAAAAGAGCAACATAGAACTGTCACACTCAACCAAAAAAAAAGAATTATAATGGACTACATAGTGTAAAAACACTAAAATCAAAACCTGAAAAAAGAGGAGTTGGCAATTGGGAATTCAATTGATCCAAGTAAGCCGAATTCGCTTTGCAGGCCAAGAAGGTGTCCCTCAAGGAGGCCTGTAAGGGTCCGAGAGGCGGAGGCCGGGCCTCAAATGCCTTGAGCAATTTCCGCACTTTCAAATTGAGGGCGGCGTAGTGACAGCGGTCCCCATCGAAAGTGTGCTCGGAGCAGATAGCGCCGCTCTCTAGAAGCATTCGGGCGGCATCTAAATGGCCTGCCAAGCAGGCATAATACAAAGCAACGGAGTCCCATTGGTCACGAGCATTGACGTTGACCCCGGAATCGAGCAGGTAACGGAGGCGGTCGACGTCGCCGGCACGGGAAGCCTCGAAAACGTCACCGTATGGGACCTTCTTGAGTGGGATTGAGGACTCGAAATCTTCAGGATCGAGGTCGATATCGTCAAGCTCTGACATGGCGGCTGTTCGTCTCTTTCTGGTTCAAAAGTTACACTGTTAAGAAGTGTACAGAAGAAGAAGATGGACATGATAGCAGTAATCTTTTTTTTTTAACAGTATTCGATTTTTTTCCTTTTCACAAAATTTATTGCAAATAAATCCCTCACATATTGGACTAATTTTGAAAGAACATAAACGGTCACCGAACTTTTAAAGTTATTTCAATTAAGTCATAAATTGCTTATCCATTAGCTAGTCGATTCAACAAAAAAAACTTGTGTCTTCCTTGTGTTGATAAAGACAAATTATTCTTTAAATTTTTTGAGACAAGGAATTAGGAAAAATAAATGTCACATTTAAAAAAGAGTAAACTTCAAGTTTATCAGTGATCACCGGACAACCACCCCCACATAGTCACACACCATGGCGATATGAAGCGATTTGCCCATGTAAAAAAATTATTTTCCTTTTCATTTGGAAGTCACAAACTATTCTTTTCAACTATTTTGGAAGAAGAAATGAAATTCATATTCAGCTAGTAAAGTAGTCATCTCATGTAACAGTTTGTTATTTGAGACATTAATTTCTTGTAATTGTGTTGTCTCGAATAACAAGTTAATGCCTCAAATAGTAAGTCGCCACATATAATGAATACTGCGATCACCAATTACGAATAATATTATTTTTTTGGAAGGAAAAATAGTAAGCTCGTATTGGAAACATTATCAATTTCTAAAAAGTACTATTCAATCAATGTCAAACTTTAGAGTGTGTTTAGTAGGAATTTTTTGGGGAATAATTGATTTTTGAATAGTGATATGATGGGAAATGTGTGGTTGAAAAAGAAGAAAAAATTATTGATGTGATGAAAAATATTATTTTATTGAAAAATGTGCGATTGAAAATGAGAATTGATTTCTCTAGGNGTGGTTGAAAATGAGAATCGATTTATTGTAGAAAATGAGAATCTGTACCAAACAGACTCTTAATTTCGACCATACATTTAAAATCACAACTCATTATTATCAATAGATTTCATGATCCCCACCTTTATTTTCGTAAATTACTAATAATCAAATCAGAACTAAGCTATATGACATTTATGTTGGTTTTTCCAACAAAACTACATTGTTTTCCTTTTTCATTTAAAAGGTTAATCCCAATCTTTGGCTAAAAAGCCACAGTTTGCTAACAATAGTGAATTAGGTGCAACAAGAGCTTGTTTTCTTCATTACATTGAAATATGAAAACACTAACCTACAATTGATTACCACTAGCCTTTATTACGTAGTAAGTCGTGACCAAAATCGAGCACCTGGATGCCTATTTGTTAGATTGTCCACCTAAACAAGAAAAAAGTCATAGATGATATTATAAAACTTCATAAAAATATATCTCGAGAAATCTATAAAGAGAGTCCTATTAAAATATTCAATTTTTTTACTACCCAAAAAAAGTATATCATCAAGATTGTCAGCCACATAGATTACGTTGTTAGACACCCGAGCAGAATCGCTAAATTTAATAATTCAAACGTGAGAATGACTTAATTGAATTATTTGTAAGTTCAGTGGCCATTTATGCTAAAAAATAAAGTTCGATGACTAATGCAACACATTTTGAAAGTTGTGTGGTCAACATAATTGTGTTTTTTTTTTTTTGAAAGAAAAAACTATAAACACCAAGAAAATGGGAAAATGACGCAAAAATAGACATAGACACAACAGGGCATAGGCTTCTATTTTGTAAGAATGAAAAGAATGTAACTACCGCCTAAATCATGATTGAATAATAAATATTGATTATATTCGCACTACAAATTTTATTATCAACATCACATTTTAATTGCAACGAAGAAAAATTCACTTGCGTTCATAACATTTTTCTTCACATTTTTATATTTAACCTTCAATTATATTAGCTCATCTGCCTCTAATGACGATTTTTGTCCACATAATATGCTAACATGGATAGAAACAAGGAGAAATTTGAGAACGAAAAGAAGCAAAAGTCGAAAATGTTCATTTCAATTAGAAGGTAATATAGTTAATAAGAAGTATGGTGTGACAATATAGACGTCATACGACCTAGCGCTCGCTAAAATTTGTTAAAGGAAAAATAAATAAATAAATA